TCTCTCAGATCGGGTTTAGGCCCAATCTAGTCGTAATCCATAGCGACTCCCAGGGCGGCGATGCGATCCAAGAGCTCGTTTATAGAAGAGAGCTCCATTGGATCTAACTGCTCGGCGAGTTCCAGCTGACGTGAAGATTGCTTTTGATGACCCGAGAGCTCATCGTCGGCGCAGCAGCCGAACAGGCGGTCATAAGAAAACCACCTAGCCGAAGAGTTTGGCCGACAGCCAAAGCTCCCTTAGCAAAAGTGCCGTCTTTAAAGACGGGATGAAGCATCCTTCCTGATGGCGACGGCACAGAGGAACTCTCAATGAAAGCACCAATGTCGGTGTCAAAACCGGCGGATCTCGGGTAGGGGGTCCCGAACTGTGCGTCTAGGCGGATGGTAACAGGAGACAAGGGACACAATATTTTTACCCAGGTTTGGGCCCTCTCGATGGAGGTAAAACCCTACTCCTGCTTGATTAATATTGATGATATGGGTAGTACAAGAGTAGATCTACCACGAGATCAAGGAGGCTAAACCCTAGAAGCTAGCCTATGGTATGATTGTTGTTCATCCTACGAACTAAAACCCTCCGGTTTATATAGACACCGGAGAGGGCTAGGGTTACACAGAGTCGGTTACAATGGTAGGAGATCTACATATCCATATCGCCAAGCTTGCCTTCCACGCCAAGGAAAGTCCCTTCCGGACACGGGACGAAGTCTTCAATCTTGTATCTTCATAATCCAGGAGTCCGGCCGAAGGTATAGTCCGGCTATCCAGACACCCCCTAATCCAGGACTCCCTCAATCATCATCGTCACCACGCCGTCATGCTGACGGAACTCTCCCTCAACGCTTGGATGGATCGGAGTTCGAGGGACATCATCGAGTTGAACGAGTGCAGAACTCGGAGGTGTCGTGCGTTCGGTTCTTGATCGGTCGGACGTGAAGATGTACGACTATATCAACCGCGTTGTGCTAACGCTTCCGCATTCGGTCTATGAGGGTACGTGGACACACTCTCCCCTCTCGTTGCTATGCATCACCATGATCTTGCGTGTGCGTAGGAATATTTTTTGAAATTACTATGTTCCCCAACACAAGGTTCGAAACATGTAGCCGGAGACGAGTCCATGGTTCCAGTGACACAGATGTCACTTGAAGTTAGGTCTGTGTGTGGCTCCAACGCCGCTGAGTCTGCGGCTTCCGTGGCGGGGTTGAGCTTCCCGTCCTCGGATGGCGCGGTCTGCTCCGGATCTAAGGCCAGAGCAGTTACAGGCACTATTTCCTGGGTGTGGTCCGATGACTGATTTATGTCATGTTCATCGTGGTGGCAGGGGGCGGCTGTCGTGGTCTCGAATCCGTCGAAGATCAAGTCTCCGTGGATATCTGCGACGTAGTTCAAGCTTCCAAATCTGACCTGATGGCCAGGGGCGTAGCTTTTGATCTGCTCGAGATGGCCAAGCGAGTTGGCCCGCGGTGCGAAGCCGCCGAATATGAAGATTTGTCCGGGGAGGAAGACTTCCCCTTGGACAGCTTCGTTATAGATGATCGAAGCAGCCATCAAACCTTTTGACGACGGCACAGTGGAACTCTCAATGAAAGCACCAATGTCGGTGTCAAAACCGGCGGATCTCGGGTACGGGGTCCCGAACTGTGCGTCTAAGGTTGATGATAACATGAGACAGGGGACACAATGTTTACCCAGATTCGGGCCCTCTCTATGGAGGTAATACCCTACTTCCTGCTTGATTGATCTTGATGAATATGAGTATTACAAGAGTTGATCTACCACGAGATCGTAATGGCTAAAACCCTACAAGTCTAGCATGTATGACTATGATTATGATTATCTATCCTCTACAGACTAAGCCCTCCGGTTTATATAGACACCGGAGGGGACTAGGGTTGTACAAAGTCGGTTACAGAGAAATAAATCTTCATTTTTGGACGCCAAGCTTGTCTTCCACGCCAAGGAGAGTCCCATCTGGACACGAGAGAGAGAGAGAGTCTTCGGTCTTCGTATCTTCACAGCCCATCAGTCCGACCCATGTCTAACAGGTCGGACGCCCGAGGACCCCCTAGTCCAGGACTCCCTCAGCGAGTGCATCAACGAGGGATGCATGGAGAATCTCATCGAAGACGAGCTAGAGCTCATTGCCATTAGTGTGGCGTTCTTAGTATCCGTCCAAGATGAGCGCGCTGTCGAGGGCAACCGCACCAAGCTCTTTCCTGCCGTCAAGTCAAAATGACGATTACAACGACAAGTTGACGAGCTCCTAGAGGAGTCAGACATGGAGGATGAGGAGGAGGAGGAGGAGAAGCCATTTGGCCGGGCCACCGACACCGCCAACGACGCGGAGGCCGTCCCCTCCGATGCGGTGAACAATTTCCCGTCCGGCTCTTAGGACTCTTCCTCCGACGCGAGCAGCGACATCAGTTTGGACTTCTCGGAGTATCTTAACCGTGGTGACTAGGTGATCGGTAGCGTGTATGAGGTAGACCGATCTAGTGTTAGTTCGATGTCGGTTTGGTTGCAATGTAGTATGTGTGTGATGTTTAATTATGGTTTGTGCAATGCTAATGTAGTACCATTATCAAACTTTGAACTGAAGTAGTTTAACTATGTGTTTGAAATGAATTTATGTGGAAAAATTGTGTTTAGTTTTTTAGGCACTCAAAGTATAGGGGGTCTGGTAGCTCCGTGACAGTGACTTTTCTAAAAAAATCTAGAGTAAAATGGAGAGTAGTTTTAGCCTTTTTTTACATGACGTCTGACAGTTTTAGTATTAGGGGATCCGGTAGAGATGCCCTTAGAGTATTAGAGGATCCGCTAGAAATGCCCTTAGAGCAACTCTAGCAGATACCGTAAGAGGCTCGGCCTTTATTATAACCGCCAGTTTACATTTTTTGTCAAAAAAAAAGACCCGGTCTAGCATATCCGGCTGAATTGTAAAGAAAATTAGCACACCCCTTATGTGAGAGCCCAATTATCATCTACTTCCGACAAAAAATTTGGGACGGAGGGAGTAGTACTGATTTCATGGCCTTTTTTACAGCTACCACTATACCAGAAAGCAGTTGGCGGGAGGGAAGTTTCAACAGCAACCGCACCCGCCCCTGTGCCTGTGCTGCCGATAGCCTTGATCCGGCGACCGCCGACGAGCCCTGCACCGCGCCGCCATCAGCTGCTGCAATCTTCACAACTTTCTCCTGTCGCCTCTCCTCACAGCCTCCATCACCTCCGCGCCCTTGTCCTGCCGCCCGCGCTCAAGAAATCCAGCATAACCCAGCGCCGGGGCAGGAATCGGGGCGCCTGCACGATCCAGGAACACATGCCCCTCTACACGAGCCTCTCGCGCATCCGCCTCTCCTCCTTGTCGGCGCCTCGTGCGCTGCAACCATGGACGCAACCACCATGCCGTCCGCCGAGCAGCCCCTCGCGCCCCTACCCCCCGCGTCGACGCCCTCCTTGTCGACTATGGGCGCCCACGGCTCCGTCTGCGAGCTCCGGTGCCCCTTGCCCCTCCTTTGTTGGTCCACCGCCGCCTCGCCTTCCTCGCTATGGCGACGGGGGAGGAGGTCATCTATGGAGCGCGATCGAAGCGCGACGGCGTGACAGAGGAGCGACGCCTTGGCACTCTTCTCGACCATGACCAGAACCCAATTAAGTTCATTACCGACCAATGGGCACCACATTTGACCCAAAGCGATTTTTACATAATCTCTGCCAACACACATCATACCGTAAAAACTCATAAAGAAGTTTTACGGTATTACCCTAAAACGATTTTGCAGCACGGATTTTTACTGTATTTGTTGTTGTAATTGTCGTAAGGACCGGAGAATGCCTTTACTTTTTTCACTCTTTTTTAACACGATACAGACGCAAGTGCTCATATACACGCGCATATACTCATCCTTATGAATGCACACACACACATCCTACCCCTATGAGCCAGGACTTGAACTCCAATGGACTGTGGATACCATAGTATCTTTAACCATCCAACCACAGAAGCTTGACTCTATAAACGTTGTAGTCTACCGGAATACTGGTTTCTGTTAATAGAAATCAGAGGTGGAAAACCTCTCATTAGAGAAAAAACCGTACATGAATTATCGAGTCAACGACTCAATGTTGTACCTAGTACATTCGCATGTATACATATACACATTTATGCATACACCTCTGGTCGAGTACAAAACCTTGAAGGTCCGCAAAACTGCATACAGCGATGGAGCCGCGTCAAGCTCGAATGAAAAGGTGATTCGTCATTCTTTTCTTCGGTGGCTACTATGGTGGTGCCGGAGGTAGGTGACGGGCGTTGATGTCAAGCTCAGAGATGTTCTGCTATCTTTTCAGTTTTGTCATGTCGGTCTTTACGTGACTTGTACTTTGTTTTTTATGATATGAATGAGACACGTATTACCATAAAAAAATACAAAACCTGCGCCATTGCAAAAAAATACAAAACCTGCGGCCCGACCCACCCACGTGTGACGTGTCCTGTATGTATATACAATCCAAGGGCAGAAATGTCAATTGCACGATGACCAGCCCGAAGAAAAACAAAAATGCTAGATACACGGATTATATCGACGGACTTTTACGGACCAGCTGACTTGTCTTTTTTTAATTGGGCTAACTAACCTCCTTCTCCTAATTAATCGGGCCCCCTTGATTTTAACTGGCGGGGGTGGGCGCCAAGCCCTGTAAACCCCCGTAATAGCCCGTTGATGTAGCAAAGCCGGAAGAAAAAATGGGAATTCGATCCCCTCTGCTTCCCTCGCAAAATTCTTCGAGCACTCGTTCCTTCGGGGACATCCGATAAAATTCTTCGAGAACTCCCGAGCGACAAACTTGTTCTCCGATCCTCGCGCCAGTATGGTTCGTCGTGTTTCCTCTTCGATCCGCCTGCATCTCAGCTCGACTAGTGCCGGCTCTCAGTCGAATCGATCGACTGGTCATGGCGGCTCATTCCTCGACCGCGGCGGCGGCGGCGGCAGCTCACTCCTCGATCGCGGTGGTGGCGGCGGCCTTGTAGAGGTCGTATGGCTCCCAGAGGTAGTCGACGGTGCACGGCTTCCGGGTGTCGAGCCGCAGCCACGGCTTGCCCTTCCCGCTCCAGTGCAGCAGGCTGATGGGGCCCGGGTGGAGGCTCCGGCACCTCCCCTCCGCGTTGTCCCCGCCGAGCCCGTGCTGGTTCCACCGGTGGTCCACCGGCATGATCTCGCCGGCTAGCACCAGCAGGAACGGCGGCAGCGACCCCAGGCTGTAGATCCGCTTCTCCTCCTTCTGCACCGCCATCCACTCCTCCACCCGCCTCGAGTACCCCCCGGCGCGCCACCGCGCCACGTCGATCACCATCACGCCCGTGTTGAAGTAGCACGGCCGCCGGCGCCGGTGCGGGCCCTGCCGGAACGTGGCGCTGAGCCGCGGGTCCGACCAGAACGCGTCGGTGAAGTACTTGGTGAAGTTGGTGTGGCAGTACTCGGGCGCCGCCACCACGTGGCCGCCGCCGGCGTCGAGGTCCACGGACCAGAGCTTGCGCACGTCGTCCACGACCACCACGTCGGAGTCGAGGTAGATGACGCGGCGCACGGACCGGGGCAGCGTGTCGGCGAGGTAGATGCGCGCGTAGTTGAGCGGCTGGTCCAGCGCGTGGCGCACGGAGCGGGAGATGCGGCCGCTGACGCGGGCCGGGTCGAAGAGGTGCACGCTGGGGTCCAGGTACGGGAACGTGGCGCGCACGGCGTCGGCGTCCCGCCGCCGCGCCGCCAGGAAGTGGAACGACACGTCCTCCGGGCACGCCGTGTGCTGCAGGATGGAGAAGACGGCCGCGACGGTGCCGCGGAGGTAGTTGGCGTCCAGCGTCATGGCGATGTGCACGCGCTCCCCCGCCCCCCGCGGCGGGCACCCGTCGCCGTTCCGGAACGCGGGCGCCTCCCTGAACCCCGGCCCCGACGACGGCAGCCGTGTAGCGTCCGCCGCCGCCCGGGCGCCAGACACCGCCGCCACGCCGTGGGTCGCCAGCAGCACCGCTGCCAGAAGCGCCCACGACGACGCCATCGCGCTTCGCACCACCAGAACGCGCGCGCGGCGGGTGAGCGCGGCGACAAGGACTGCACGCCGGCGCGCACGGGAAGGGTGGCTGGCTAGGATGCCGGGACCGTGCCCCGGTGAGAGGGGGGAGGAGGTGAGCGAGGAGAAACCTGGCAGCTTGCCGGGGGCAGGGTAGGAGGCGCGCGCGAGCTAGAGCGTCCCTTGGCAATGGCAATGGAGACGACGGCGGCGACCGACAGCGGCACTCTGTGCTCGGATCACGCAACGGCACATGACCACATGCGCATCGGATTATATACTACGCCTTTCAACTCCAGGTGTGCAGGGAAAGGACATCGGACAGGGGCGATGATTGCCCGCTTGTGCGTGACGACCGACGATGTCGGTGCGCTTCCCACGTTTATTTACAGAGGGAAAATCAGAAGGGAATCCGGGAGGAAGGAGCGGGTGTAGGTGTGCAGGTACGTTTCGTGTTGGGTGGTACTCCGTCCGTCCATCTGAGCTCCGGCCAGCTTGTGTGTTTGCGCGTGGAGGACGATCGAGGGGCTCCATCACGCACGTTGCGGCCAGCGTGGCGTGCATGCGCCGCACCGGTGGTTGGCAGGCGGCGAGCTAGCTGTTCACAGCTCTGGGTGAAATGCTTTCAAAATTGAATCTTTTTAGAACACTATTTTGTCCCTTTTTTTCATACACAACGGATGCCATTTCTTCACGAAAATTCAAATGTGGGTGGAACTCTCGACCAGGGCGACATGGGCGGGGACCATACCTTCCCGGCCAGCTCCTCCTCCCTCTTGCCCGGTAGCCTTCGTCGGGCAAAGCCTGCGCAAAAACGGTGATGGTGGGATATGTTCTCCGCTTCGTGTGAAGTGCGCCGGTGGGCTAGGGATCTCACTGCGGGAGGCGACGTGGCGTTGTTTGTATTGTTGTTTGCACCACAGAACTATGGTGGCCTTGCAACGTTGGCAGCAGCTTGCGTGTGGGCTCGGGAGTTTGAATCGGGTTTCCGTCGATCTGTTTGTTCCTGCAATGTTGGCAATTGGTTGCGCCGCCCCTGCTCTGGGGTGGTCGCGTCGGCGTCCTACTGGTGGATGGGCAACGTGGTGGTATGAGGTAGAGGAGGCACTACAAGGAACGCGCACGGTCGTGGCAGGCTCGTTTCAGGTTTGGGGCAAGCCTCGGTTGAGGCCTGCGGTGGTGGCAAGGCCGCTCATGGCGATGTGGTTGTGATTGTTTAGCGGCAATGGTGGAGGGGGTTGTCAACAATACGGGAAACATGGTCTCCTGGGCTAGCTGAAATGGGTCGGACTCAAGACCATTATGCCCAAGGAGTAGATCTTTGTAAAGGCCCTTACTAGCATGTCTACACTAGCTCTCTGTCCCTGGCCAGAAGGTTCCGATGCAGTTGGCGGCTTGTTAAACTCGAGTGGATCGCACAAGTTGCATCCACCTGGTTCAACGTACCACCTGCAATGTAAGCCCACTGCAGTGCCCCCCTCCTATTCCTATATAAGGGTAGGACTGATGCCATGCATATTATTGGAAATATGCCCTAGAGGCAATAATAAATTGGTTATTATTATATTTTCTTGTTCATGATAATCGTTTATTATCCATGCTATAATTGTATTGATAGGAAACTCAGATACATGTGTGGATACATAGACAGCACCATGTCCCTAGTAAGCCTCTAGTTGACTAGCTCATTGATCAATAGATGGTTACGGTTTCCTGACCATGGACATTGGATGTCGTTGATAACGGGATCACATCATTAGGAGAATGATGTGATGGACAAGACCCAATCCTAAGCCTAGCACAAAGGTCGTGTAGTTCATATGCTAAAGCTTTTCTAATGTCAAGTATCATTTCCTTAGACCATGAGATTGTGCAACTCCCGGATACCGTAGAAATGCTTTGGATGTACCAAACGTCACAACGTAAGTGGGTGGCTATAAAGGTACACTACGGGTATCTCCGAAAGCGTCTGTTGGGTTGGCACGAATCGAGACTGGGATTTGTCACTCCGTGTGACTGAGAGGTATCTCTGGGCCCACTCGGTAGGACATCATCATAATGTGCACAATGTGACCAAGGAGTTGATCACGGGATGATGTGTTACGGAACGAGTAAAGAGACTTGCCGGTAACGAGATTGAACAAGGTATCGGATACCGATGATCGAATCTCGGGCAAGTACAATACCGCTGGACAAAGGGAATTGTATACGGGATTGATTGAATCCTCGACATCGTGGTTCATCCGATGAGATCATCGTGGAACATGTGGGAGCCAACATGGGTATCCAGATCCCGCTGTTGGTTATTGGCCGGAGAGTTGTCTCGGTCATGTCTGCATGGTTCCTGAACCAGTAGGGTCTACACACTTAAGGTTCCGTGACGCTAGAGTTGTTATGGGAAATAGTATGTGGTTACCGAAGGTTGTTCGGAGTCCCGGATGAGATCCCGGACATGACGAGGAGCTCCGGAATGGTCCAGAGGTGAAGATCGGTATATTGGACGAAGGGTATTGGAGTCCGGAATTGTTTCGGGGGTACCAGGTGATGACCAGCGTGTCCGAAAGGGGTTTCGGAGGCCCCGGCAAGCGTTAGGGGGCCTTATGGGCCAAGGGGAGAGGGCACATCAGCCCACTAAGGGGCTGAGCTGAAGGAAATATGCCCTAGAGGCAATAATAATGTTATTATTTTATTTCCTTATATCATGATAAATGTTTATCATTCATGCTAGAATTGTATTATCCGGAAACATAATACTTGTGTGAATACATAGACAAACTAAACATCACTAGTATGCCTCTACTTGACTAGCTCGTTAATCAAAGATGGTTATGTTTCCTAACCATAGACCTGTTTTGTCATTTGATTAACGGGATCACATTATTAGGAGAATAATGTGATTGACATGACCCATTCCATTAGCTTAGCACCCGATCGTTTAGTATGTTGCTATTGCTTTCTTCATGACTTATACATGTTCCTATGACTATGAGATTATGCAACTCCCGTTTGCCGGAGGAACACTTTGTGTGCTACCAAACGTCACAACGTAACTGGGTGATTATAAAGGAGCTCTACAGGTGTCTCCGAAGGTACATGTTGGGTTGGCGTATTTCGAGATTAGGATTTGTCACTCCGATTGTCGGAGAGGTATCTCTGGGCCCTCTCGGTAATGCACATCACATAAGCCTTGCAAGCATTGCAACTAATGAGTTAGTTGCAAGATGATGTATTACGAAACAAGTAAAGATACTTGCCGGTAACGAGATTGAACTAGGTATTGAGATACCGACGATCGAATCTCGGGCAAGTAACATACCGATGACAAAGGGAACAACGTATATTGTTATGCGGTCTGACCGATAAAGATCTTCATAGAATATGTGGAAGCCAATATGAGCATCCAGGTTCCGCTATTGGTTATTGACCGGAGACGTGTCTCGGTCATGTCTACATTGTTCTCGAACCCGTAGGGTCCGAACGCTTAAGGTTTCGATGATAGTTATATTATGAGTTTATGAGTTTTGATGTACCGAAGTTAGTTCGGAGTCCCGGATGTGATCACGGACATGACGAGGAGTCTCGAAATGGTCAAGACATAAAGATTGATATATTGGAAGCCTATGTTTGGACATCGGAAGTGTTCCGGGTGAAATCGGCATTTTACCGGAGTATCGGGAGGTTACCGGAACCCCCCGGTAACCTAATTGGCCTTAATGGGCCTAGTGGAGGAAGAGGAGAGGAGGCCTAGGGGCTGCCGTGCACCCCTCCCCCCCAAGTCCGAATTGGACAAGGAGGGGGGCGGCGCCCCCCTTTCCTTTCTTCCCTCTCCTCCTTCCCCCCAAGTCCTAATCCAACTAGGGAAAGGGAGGGGAGTCCTACTCCCGGTAGGAGTAGGACTCCTCCTGCGCGCCTCCTCCTAGGGCCGGCCGCACCCCCCCTTGGCTCCTTTATATACGGGGGCAGGGGGCACCCCTAGACACACAAGTTGATCTCTAAGATCGTTCTCTTAGCCGTGTGCGGTGCCCCCTTCCACCATAGTCCTCAATAATATTGTAGTGGTGCTTAGGCGAAGCCCTGCGACAGTAGAACATCAAGATCGTCACCATGTCGTCGTGCTGACGGAACTCTTCCCCGACACTTTGCTGGATCGGAGTCCGGGGATCGTCATCGAGCTGAACGTGTGCTAGAACTCGGAGGTGTCGTAGTTTCGGTGCTTGATCGGTCGGGCCGTGAAGACGTACGACTACATCAACCGCGTTGTCATAACGCTTCCACTGTCGGTCTACAGGGGTACGTAGATCACACTCTCCCCTCTCGTTGCTATGCATCACCATGATCTTGCATGTGCGTAGGAAATTTTTTGAAATTACTATGTTTCCCAACATGAGCGCCCCTCCCACCCCATCTCACGTAACCAGGAGAGGTGGGGGCACCACCCCTAGGGCAGCCGCCCCTCCCGGCTTGGGGGGCAAGTTTCCTAGGGGGTGGAGGCACCCAAACCCATCTAGGGTTTTCCCTGTGGCCGTCGCCCCTCCCCTAGGGAACCCTAGGGTGCCTCCCCCTCCTCCCTTCCCCCTATATATAGTGAGGGAGAGAGATGGCAGCCGCACCCTCCCCCTGGCACAGCCCTCTTCCTCCTCCAACACCTCATCCTCCTCCGTAGTGCTTGCGAAGCCCTGCCGGAGAACCACGAGCTCCATCACCACCACGCCGTCGTGCTGTCGGGGTTTTCCCTCAACTTCTCCTCTCACCTTGCTGGATCAAGAAGGAGGAGACGTCTCCCAACCGTACGTGTG